TTTTTTTTTTTTTTTTTTTTTTTTTTTTTTTTTTTTTTTTTTTTTTTTTTTTTTTTTTTTGAAGGAAGTAGCAAGATTAAGTGAAATCCATAAAATAATGGTTAGTGATAATCGCTCTTGAAATTATTGTGTGGTAAAATTGGTACAAAATAGATTTCAAGGTTGTCTCTTAGTCACTCAAACATATCAAGTTTTATTATTTTTAGTTTCATAAAGTTTGTAAGTTGTCAAATTGACTTCGTCTTTTTGTAAATTTAAGGAGATCAGGATTAAATCATGGCCACAAACGTCTTTTGTGGCGAGACTATAAATATCCACAAATTGTTATGTAAAATCCGTGTATGAATGAAATTAAGATCTCAAATTGAGACGTTTCTCTCCAAAATTAGAGCATCTATTTTGTCATTTCTAAGTTTCAATCAATTCTTGTGGTAGAATTGCATCTGACATCTCAAATTAAGACGTTTCCCTTCGAAATTCGAGCATCTATTTTGCTATTTCTAAGTTTCAAGCAATTCTTGGGATAGAATTGCATCTGAGCCATTCAATCAAGTCTTGATCAAGTTCGGAGTGACAGTCTTGATCAAGTTCGGAGTGACTCAATTTAGAACAAGATTCCAAATCTTGGTTCTAGATCTTCGATTGTAAAAGGTGCTAAAATATCATCACTAGCCCAATAGGGTGAAGCTTAAAATATATCATTAGCCCAATAGGGTGAAGCCCAATCATTGTATGAGCTTATTATATATTTAGTAAAATGATCGAGGTATTTTAAAATAAAGATGGGTAGATATTTTTGGAGAAGATTTAGATATTTTAGGGCTAGATTGGGTAGGCTCTCTATAAATACCCTCCACCCTACCAGTTTTTCATCCCAAGAAATACAAAGGAGTAGTATTCTACAAATTATCTTGTATTCTCTTCTCGATTGGTCTTAATAAAGAGTGCGAGTGTTTCTCATAAAGAGTTGTGTTCAACAATTTGGTATTAGAGCGAGGTTAGTGTAGGTTGCCGATCTCTTGGAATTCTTAGTATGCTCCGTGGTTGCAGCTTTATCTGATCTTCCACATCATAAACGATTTCTTGAGATTATTAGTGAGTGAGTTTCTGTGTGTTGTGAGTAGTCTATGACTCTGCAAATCTTGTGTCGACTCATTTAGTTTACTAAAGTATTGTCAACACGATGGATGACTTCCAAATGATAGGAGGAATCAAGAAACTCAACAACAACTACTACAACACGTGGGCAACATGCATAATGTCCTATTTACAAGGACAAGACCTTTGGGAGGTCATTGGTAGGAGTGAAACTAATCAAAGCATAATGTTCTATTTAAATGAAGAATCAAAGCAGGCAAAACAATGTTTTTCTTGAAGATCACAATCGAAGAAGAGATGTTAGAGTATATTTAGGATGACAAGACATCGAAAGAAGCATGGGACACGTTCATGACGTTGTTCTCCAAGAAGAACGATACAAGGCTACAACTTCTGGAGAACGAGCTGTCATCAATTTTATAACGTGACATGACTATTGCTCAATACTTCCACAGCGTCAAGTCGATCTGTCGAGAGATTACTGAACTAGACCTAAAGTCTGCCATTGGAGAATCTCGAATGAAGAGGATCATTATCCATGGATTGTGACCAGAATATAGAAGCTTCATTATTGTTGTACAAGGATGACCCACCCAACCATCACTTTTAGAGTTTGAAAATTTGTTTAGCTAGCCAAGAAGCCATGACTAAAAAAATGGGAAAAATCACATTGCATAGTGAAGAAGAAGCACTATACACAAGTGAAAGTCAGAGCAATAAGAAGTCGTCTACCAAACGTGGATACAGAAATGGTTACAAAGAAAGAAGCCATCAAGAAACTGCACAACCTAAGAGAGCTCAGAAGAATGACAACAAAAGTTCCCAAGGAAAGAGATCGGAAGGTATTTGCTACAATTGCAGGAAGAAGGGCCACATGTCCAGAGATTGTTGGTCAAAGAAAAATTGGTCGAAAGCAATGTGGCATCCTCCAACATAGAGATGGAGAAGGAATGGGATGCAGAGGCAAAATGTGTCATAGAAGAAGACGAGCTAGCGCTCATGGCAATGATTTGAGAACATATTGATTATGAGAACGACTGAATCATTGATTTAGGATATTCAAACCACATGATTGACAATCAAAGTGGTGTAATGGAAGAGGGTTGACCCTCAGAGAAAGAAGTATTACTAGGCTTGGACAACATTGAAGAAATTCTTCCATAGAAGACGGGGAAGCAAACTAAAGAAATTCTTCCACAGAAGATGGGGAGCAAACTATACACATTTGCTTAAGTGTTGATGTGCCTGAAGATCCAAGTGACACTAGCTGGATATAGTGATGTAGGAGATCACGATACCCGAAGATCAATCACAGGGTATGTGTTCAAGGTCGGTTCGAGAACAATTTTTTGGTGTAACAAAAGACAATCAACAGTATCATTGTCAACTAGAGAAGTAGAGTACAGAGCAGCAGTTGGAGCAGTTTAGGAAAATACATGGCTTAAAACTCTTGTTGGAAGATTGGCACTAGAAAATTGACTATCCAAAACCACTTCATTGAAACAACCAATTTGCGATTTGCCTAGCAAAAAATTCGGTGTTTCATGCTAGAACAAAGCATGTGGAGGTGCACTACCATTTTATTAGAGAGAAAGTCCTAAAGAAACAAATCGAGATGCAGCAGATCTAGACAGATGACCAATTGGCAGGCTTGTTTACAAAAGGGCTGAATACTGGCAAACATGAGAGTTTTCCCCGTCAGCTTAACATGGTGCGAGGATTGAGGACTAATGCTGAGGGGGAGTGTTGAAATATCATCACTAGCCCAATAGGGTCAAGCCCAATTATTTTGAGTAGATTGCGTAGGCTCTGGTCCGTTGGTGGCATATCTGCTTCCTCGGCTGAAGCGTATAAGTTATGTTCCCAATCTTAGAAAACCTCTACTTAAACTTAAGATATAAATATCCCTCCACCCTACCTAGTTTTTCATCCAAAGAAATACAAAGTAGTAGTATTCTACAAAGTGTCTTGCATTCTCTTCTCGATTGGTCTTAATAAAGAATGCGGGTGTTTCCCACAAAGAGTTGTGTTCAACAATCAATTGTTGAGAATTGTTGGCAGGGAGTCCACATTAGTTAATTTAGTAGAAGATCATGGGTTTATAAATGAAGAATACTATCTCCATTAGATGAGACCTTTTGGGAAGCCCAAAGCAAAGCCATGAGAGCTTATGCTCAAAGTGGACAATATCATAGGAGATTCGTCATTCCTAACCTAATTCTAGCCTTATCAATTAGTTGATCCAAATTTTGCATAGGGAGGTGTTAATTTCTCTGATTCTTATTCGTTTTTCTACATAAATATTAGAGTATCATATCAAATATCGTAGGTTTCCTCTCTTTAGCGAGTTATATAATTTCTTGATTTATAGAATATGTTTATAAACTGGGCATGAGCATCTTATATCAATTTCAGGACTGTTTTTGGTTTCATGAGATGCAAACGATATTTCAAAAAACTGTTTTGAGTTATTAAAGAACCAGGTATGTCAATTTCAAGGGTCGAGTTCTTGTATTAATAATGGGCATGAGCTATCGATTGTAAACATGTAAATAGTTATCTTAAAAAAAGACTTGTTTTTATCTATATATAATAAAAAAAATAAAAAAAAAACTATCTCAATTTCAATGGATGAAGAATGATATTTTAGTGGGATGAACATGTCAATTACATTTAAGTTTTTTCATTAATTCATAAAAGTGTTTTGAGCTTGTTTTTTCCCGAACCATTTGTCTTTTTACCTCAGTCACCCATGTTTATGAAATTATTTCTTAGTTTAATTTTCATTTATTCTCCCATAGTTTACCTTTGTTTTTTTTTATTCTAATAGTTCAAAAATTAATTTTTTAAATAAATATTTTCTATACTTATTTATTTATTTAGGTAAGATAGAGTGAAATTAGTAATAACATCTCTCACGTTTACACTTTTTAGTTTGTTTCTTTTTTCCTTCCTTTACATATTTTTTTATCTATCATTGTACTTTAAAAATTAATTTTTTAAATAAATATTTTCTATATTTATTTATTTATTTGGGTAGGATATAATGTTATTAGTATATATAAACAGTAATTTATAAACTATCCACGGGTGTTTTTTTCATCCAATATTGATCTCTTGAGCTAAGTATCATAATTATTTTTCCTTGCCTTTTGACCACATTTATGTTCTTAATATATATAACCGTTGCTGTATTTTTTTTATATAATATCTGGCTGCTATCATTTCTTGACATTAGGCTGCTGTATTTTTTTTTTCCTCTTTTTTGTTTGACAACAGTAACCGTCATTTTTTCCTTTTTTTTTTTTGTTTGACAACAAGTGGTTTTGGCTTGAAGTTTCGTGAGAATGTGCACAATAATTAGATCAAATTCATGCAAATGAGGGTGAACAAGGTACTTTATGACAACATACACCGAAAAAGAATAACTATATCACTAATCACAACCTAGTATGTATCAAGTGTGAAATTAACCTTTTTAACCACATCAAAATTCTCCTAATTCATCTACAAAAACTGGCTAATTCATTCGGGCATGCAAATCATTCACCACAAAAAGTAAAATAAAATCTAAAAAACTATATTCTAAAAAGAGTGAAGATAAGTATTTATACATAAATAAAAAGAGAAGAAAAACTAACTTGCCTTCCTGAAGTTTGTTGCTTGTTTACCATTCTTTGTCAGCTCCCTTTGCGACAAAGTGTTTTATTTTTCAACTTTTTAAGCCGCAAGAGTCCATGCCTCTTTTTACTTATCCACCTAAGTACGATTTAAGTCTCTGTCTATTCACTGTGAAGGGTCTTCTTTATCTCCATGTTTTATCGTTATTGTCCCATAGGGAGTGATTTCTTCAACTATAAACGGACCGAACCATCTTGATTTTAATTTTCCAAAGAATAATT